AAGAATGCCCTTGTTGAAGCAGCATCTCCATTAACACAATTTTGCCCAAACCCTTTGAGGTTCTTACAACTTTGTAAATTGCTTCTTACAATAATATTAACTGAGGAATTACTTACTAGTTTGGCATGTTCATTAATGGAAGCAACATAAGGTGCTCCAATAAACTCAGGGTCCAAATCTGGTACATCCACAACATTTACAGATACATAAGCTGTTGAGCTTTGTTGAATAAGTGAACCATGAAGTTGCCCACCTCGGTCCTGTAAATTTTAATATAAATATTATTTTAGCACTGTAATTACAATCACTTTAGAATTAACAAATAAAACAAAATAATAGCAATACAGTTACCAAAATGATTTATATCCAATCTATCTTATAGGAGAGGACCTGTCAGGTTATAAAATTTGGGAAATATCATTCTTCAATTCACTTTAGAGATGCCAACACCAGGGATTTCATCCTGACTAGGTTAGGCTTCACAAACTTTGAGTCACTGAATAGGAATCAATGGAGGCTGAGACTAAAGCCTTGTACACACAATGAGAATATCAGACGAGTGATCATCCATTTTTTAAAATTATAGTCTCATATCAAAAATGAATAGATTACTAAAGTTACAACTATTCTCGTATGACAGAATACAACTTCTGAAGTGAAGTGATGTATTGTAATGTAATCTTTTGTTTCCAAGCATGGTCTTGGTCACTCTATTTTTTTTTGTACTGTACTGATTAAACATAAATCGTTCATTCTGGTATTGTATGAGAATATTTTTCGCACTTGTCCATGAACTGTTGTGATCGGCTCTCAAAAGCTGTATACTAACAGTAAGATTATCGAACGATCGCTCAGAAAGTGGTATTTTTTCTTCTGATTTTCTCATCAGGTGTACTAGGCTTAATTACCTGCATGATACAGGTTAGTGACTCATAAAGTTTGAGATAACGTGTCAAATACTCTGGAGGTTGGTTCTTGCAACCTAAATCAGCGTTGTCATCTTCCATTTACTGTATCTGTCCTGACTGTAGAAAAAATATGTTTTTAGAGGCAGTGTGGACTTTCATGGTACCACCACAGACATCACAAAAATAAAAAAAAAAAACATTCTTTATTACACCAGTTATATAAAATATATAAAAGCATTATTGCCAAAACACAGCACAAATAACCCCTCCTTGAGATAACGACCACCTGGTGCAGATATGCACCTACTGAATGTGAGTGCATTTCTTATGTTTAATGTGCAATAAAAGTTTTTAAAATTTAAAGTACTATGTTGAGCTTCTGTTTATGAGGAATATGGTTGAGCCTGAGGCGGTTATCTGGAGACAGCATCCTTTGGAGTTATTATTCAGCAATTTGATCTTCAGAGTCCATACATTTGGGACAAAAGTGCATTTAGACCAAAACATTGTATAATGTGAGGTCACACTGCTGGAGGTGAGCAGATATATGGTGGAGGATGTTTTGCACTGGAATTCTGTGACAGATGCACACGATGGTCGTTATCTCAAGAAGGGGTCACAGGAGAACACTTAATTGATTGGACTTTCATTAATTAATTTCTTTTTTTTTGGACATATTTTCCTTTGCAGTCGCATAATTTTTGTTTTTTGATATCACTGTTCTACATGTACATATTTGATAGGTATTGTACAATTTTGTATATGTAGTGCAGCATTTTTTTCATTGATATTATTCATTATTTAGCCCACTGAGACATGGGTTGTGTGCACTAGCGGCTACAGTATTCAAATTATACTTATTTATTTATATTTTATATTTACCATAGTAAGCTCTTGAGTTTATTCACATTTTCACCGCACAAATAAAGCTCTCAATACTGGACTAATATAACCACATAGAGGTACTAATCAGTATCACAGACTAGATAATACAGTCTAAAGCACATAAATATCCAGATATTCTCAACATGTTTTGCGGTTCATCCACTTCCTCAGGAGTGTTTGAGGTAGTACATTTTCTGTAAACAAAATTAATATACCATAACACATGTACAATAAAATGAGATGAAACCAACTTACTAGAAACATGCGGAGGTGAGAAAGAAAAGATTGCCTGAGAAAGGAGCTTGCATGATCCAAACTCTTCCGGTTCCAATGACGTCACAGCTGTTAGCTACCCTGTGTCTCTCTGCTACTCCTGGAGCCCTGAACACCACCAGCGGTGCTGGGACAAGGAGGACTGCATGGCATCCAGCCTCTACACCTGCTCTACTGGGAGTGACTTATTATTGACATGTGATCCTATACTATATCTTTGTGAGTTGTTTACCTTATTACATTTTTGGTTTTACGCACATCTACACTTAGAATGGTGCCGTTGTATTTCTTCTTTCAAAAAAAAAAATGGAGAGGGTGAGCTGGCAGATTTGTCCACGGGCCGCATCATTCATTCACAGTGTCAGAAGTATCGGCTTGCCTGTACGAGATGTAAAAGCAAGCAGATACACTGACAGTCTGAAGGAGACCTTCCAGGCTCCTAGTACAAAAATAATGAATGCACATTTTTTTTACCTGCAAAAAATGTGCATTTATTATTTTTTGTAGAAAGGTGAACATATCCTTTAACTTTACATTTAGCTTTACATTTACATTTAGAAGAGAAGCAAGTAAGCATGCTTCAATTTTGCATTAGGTGAATGGTGCATGATGATTGGAATTCCAATGAACCCATTACATGTTTAATGGAAAGAATGGTGTCCGTTTATTGGTGGAAAAAATACTAGTGAATGAGCAACTGTAACCCAGAGAAACAGGCAGTGCAAATTGCACAATGTTTGTTTATTTGTGTAGCACCCTCCTAGGTTGTTAGAGTAGGTAAATTTAGTTTAGCTTCTCTGTAGTCAGTGGCCTGGTTACCTCCAGTTACCTGTCTTCTAGAACTTGCTGGAAAGTAGGTATAATCTAGTAGGTGGAGAAACAGAGGTTACAGCTTGAATATTCACAGATTTCCACCAATCCCTGGGGAGGTAAGACCCAGATGGGTGTTACAGTCCATAAATACTCAGCCTGGCAGTCTTGGCAGCAAAGGCCTGGGTCCAGTCATCTGGAGGGACCCCTTATGCAGGGGGGGGGCTCTCTGCCCCTGGACGGGCAGAAGCAAGAGGAAGCGAGAAACAGAGGAACAGTCCCAGGACTTCACTCAGCCTTTGTGCCAACTAGACCCAGCTGGGGGGGGGCAGAGAGAGAGAGAGAGATCATTGCAGCAGTTCTCTGGATTCTAGGAGCTCCTTAAAGGGACTTTTCAGGCAACATACCCACACTTTAGAGTGGACTGTGTAGTGCAAGAGCACACATATCTGGGAACCTAGGGGGATGGCCAAGTGCAGTGCAAGAGAGCCAGGAGCACCCATAATATCTCTGGCTGGGTGGAGAGCAGCCAGGTGCAGTGCAATACTGCCAGGAACTGTGTCTACAACTTGATCTTTTGGAGTTTATTTGTTCACATACATTCTACATTATACATCACATATATACACAGCTGGAGATTATAGCTTGTCCTTAACCACTTGTACATAGTTTTCCTCTAGTTTTTCCAGTATGGGGCATCCGTTGTACCCCTAGCCCCTATCTATGTTCTCCAAAAAATAAAAACAAAAGAAATATCCCTAAACTGCTCATGGAATCTGTGGAGTAAGAGTGGAAAATTCCTGTTGCCTGGCTGTGGGGGGGTAGCGCTACATGCTTGGCTTCATCCTTTTGAGAAACATGTGAGCAATGAAATGCTCTGACATTAACATAGCAGCTGATGAGAGGTTGTTGCAATTATACTACGCTTTAACACTGTTTATAACAATGTACTTGGAAAGTAGAAATTATAAGCAAATAGATGCCTATCACACATAAATCATCTTACCTTGGCCAGAATATTTAGTTGGTAAAAGGTGCTCAACTTGTTGTAGTCCAAAGTATCATTAAGTACAATATTTCCAATTGTAGGACTTGTGTCAGCTTCACGTTTGATGTAAAAAAGATAGGGGCCTGGAATACTTGGTGTGATCTAAAAAAATTAAGGCGACAGGATTTAGTACAGTGAGGCAGGAGTATTAGAAAATGGCCAATGGATAAAAAAAATGCATCTTGTAACATGCAATTTTTATGGCTCCCATGAGTCCTTAACCTTTCCCTTTTTGTCAAGAACCTTTCCCTGCTGCTAATCACTATCTCCGACAGGTGGGGTCTCCTTCTCCCTACTCTATCCATTTTGCAAAAGTGTGGCAAAACCTGGATGCAAGGATTTAAAAAGGGTCTGCTGTCCAAAGATGGCCACCAGGGGTCACTTGGATGTAGCATAGCCAACAGTAACGCTGCCTCCAAAACCCAGGAAACCATATTAAAATGTTGTTTCCCTAAACTTCCTCTCCAGCTGTGGTACCACTCAGGTCGAGTGCCACCTGCAGTGGAGAAAACAGACTACGCCTGACTACAATGCCCCTTGCTAATAATACACTATATTGCCAAAAGTATTTGGACACCTGCCTTTACATGCACATAAAATTAATGGCACCCCAGTCTTAGTCCGTAGGGTTCAATATTGCGTTGGCCCACCCTTTACAGCTATAACAATTTCAACTCTTCTGGGAAGGCTGTCCACAACGTTTACGAGTGTATCTATGGGAATGTTTGACCATTCCTATAGAAGCGCATTTGTGAGGTCAGGCACTGATGGCAGACAAGAAGGCCTGGCTCACAGTCTCCGCTCTAATTCATCCCAAAGGTGTTCTATCGGGTTGAGGTCAGGACTCTGTGCAGGCCAATCAAGTTCCTCTACTCCACAATGAAGTCAGGCAAGTACTGTTCTCCTGGCAACTGCCTAATCCATACACGTTCATCAGATTGCTAGATAGAGAAGCGAGATTCATCAATTCAGAGAGCATGTCTTCACTGCTCTAGAGTCCAGTGGTTGCATCAGACACTTTCCATTAGACTTGATGATGTAAGGCTTGGATGCAGCTGCTCAGCCATAGAAACCCATTCTACAAAGCTATCTACGTACTGCTGTTGTGCTAATCTGAAGGCCACAAGAAGTTTGGAGGTCTTTAGCAATTGACTCTGCAGACAGTTAGCGATATCTGCACTTCAGCATGTGCTGACCCTGCTCTGCCACTTTACGTGGCCTACTACCTTGTAGCTGAGTTGCTGTTGTTCCCAGTTGCTTCCACTTTGTTATAATACCTCTAACAGTTGACCGTGGAATATTTAATAGCCAGGAAATTTCACAAATGGACTTATTACACATTTGGCAATCTATCACGTTACCATGCTTGAATTCACTGAGCTCCTGAGAATGACCCATTTTTTTACAAATGTTTATAGAAGCAGTCTGCATTCCTAGGTGCTTGATTTTATACACCTGTGGCCATGGAGGTAATTGGAACACCTGAATCCAATGATTTGGAAGGGTGTCCCAATATTTTGGCAATATAGTGTAGCTGTTTGTACTATGTAATGTATGTACTATTCCAGTGTGAAGAGGAAGAGAAGGGATGAAGAGTTCCAGTTGTGCACAGCGATTGAGCCAAATATTTAGGGAGGGGGGGGGGGGGACAGCAGGCTGTAAAACATTTTTTACCTTAATGCAGGAAATGCATTAAGGTAACAAAAACATTTTGGCATTAGAACCAATTTAAATAAAAGTATGAGCTTGTCAGGACAAAGTGACAATGTCTGTGTAAAGCTCTTCCTCAACCTCTCCAGTGTCCCCTTCATCACAGTCAGAACAAGGTCTCTCCATTGGGGACACAGACAGTAAAAAGCATAGCCGAAGCTCTAATCCAGTAGTAGTCGATTAAGTAAATATTGGGAGCCTCAAGTGTGGTTCCAACATATCCAGAGGGCCACACAGTAGCTGCATTTTTGTAAATTCCCTTTTATCAATACATTACATTGCAAAACACCCAGGAAAAATTAATCTGTATAAAACATTAATGTAACGTTAAAATACGTTAAAGGCAGCTTTGCACAGACAGAAATGGTGATGGCAATATTTTTACAGGTTTGTTATCTTTTATCAGCCAGCAATGGTGTCAGGGTCCTGTCCACAGCAGAAGTTCTGGAAGATCTGGAATTTCTGCAGTACTCTGCATGGCCGCAGAAGCACACATCAGCCTCAGTTTGGTGCTAGACGGCCTTTATAATGAGGCTCATCACTTCCTCAAGTTGCTGGATGATCTCTAGCTCCCCGTGCCCTGTTCCTGGTTTCTGTTTCCTGTGATTCTGACCTGTGATTTCCTGTTACCGACTCGGCTTTCTCCTGAACCTGTCTACTCTGCTTTACCCCTGATCTGACCTCGACTTGGCTTACGGATACTCTCTCTCTCTCGCTCCTCTATGTATGACCTTGGCTATCCCATCTGACTACGTCTGCTCTGATTCCCACCTGGTACCTGACCTTGGCTTGAACCGACTACCCAGTAAACATCTAAATCCTGGAAGGGCTTACATACCACGCACAGACACCTCTTGTCTGCAGACCTATCTCCGTGCACCAGTTTTGCTTCTGAGTGGACCACCAACCATCACCCCTACAGGCGACCTGTGCAACTTTGCGCCTGACTCCCGCTGTCCCACTCTCAGGGGAGTCCGGAACTTAGCCGCAAGAAAGCCCTCTCTCCATTGGCCTCCATCACCAAGTACATGATAAATGGATTACAATAGCAATTATCTATTGCTGCAGATATGAAACAAGACAGAGTTGTATCAACTTTGCCCTTTCAAGAAGTGGATACATTTTTTGTACAGTGCACTTTACCCAGAGCAGAAGCCTATTTCAGCACCAGCAGGTCACATGTTGGGCAGCATTGTTAAAAACCCTTCTCCACCCTAGTTAGGCTTTAAATGTGTAGACACTTACAAATGTTGATACACATCAGCTACAGTATATCTAGAAAACACATTGCTAGATAATAAATAAGGACAGGCTAACTCTAATAGAATAGGACAAGTTACTATTTTTTAACCATCATGTTTTAGTCATTCTGTTCAGTTATCCATTAGGTAAAATGATAAAAAATTTACTTAATTCTAATTGATTTTCAATACATACCTGAATAATATCAAATGAAACGGGTACTTGTCCATCATCATCATAATCTTTTGCTGTAACACTGAAAATTACAGTTCCTGATGCAGTACTCTACAAGTGGGGAAGACAGAAAATTCTTTAGCAAGTTGTTGTAGTTCTCCGAAATGTAACAGTGCAATAGTATGTTAACAGGCCAGTTTAGGAACAGAAGGTTTTAAAGTGTATTTCCATCTTGTGACAATTTTTAAGAAACCCCCACACAATGTTTATGTGTTCCTATTCACACAGCATACTTAAAAATAATCTAAAAACATTTCTTACCATTCTAGTGATTTTTTTTGTGGAGCAGCATTACACACATAATTCTACAGGTAGCTTGCACTGTTCAGAATAACTTGCAGTGTGCTTATTTAGGAACACTTCAGCAACAGATTGAACTGAAAGTGCATTAGCATACAATGCAGAACTCTGGACTTCATTTATTTAGCCATTTAGTAGGACAGACAGTGTACATATCTAGTTTACAACTGATAAAGAAGATCTGCCAGCAAAGTACAGACAGGGTAATGCAGGCCATAGACTGGTCGTTTATCGGCCGAATTTTCGTATGAACGAAAAATCACCCAATATTCGCACCGTTAGGGGGGCAATGTCGTCAGCCAATTTTCGCTGTTCTTCTTGTTTCTTTTATCGGTCATGCTGGAAAATCTACGAAAAACTGATGTTTTTCGTTAGCATTGGTGGCAGCAGAACGACCGATTTTTCGTTTTTTCGGCCAACAATTCGGCCGATAAACGACCCGTCTATGGCCAGCATTAATTATGGTAGTCCTAACTCCCCAGTCTCCCAATAAACAGTATATTGACGGGGAACGCTAAGTGGAAGTTTTCAGAAAAGCATTTAAAATGGTAAGTAGTACTTTTTAAAGTTATACTATTGGAACACATATCAAGACATAGTAAGTGTTATCCCAATCTGTCTGCTAAAGTGGAAATACACTTTATGGCTAGGTTCACACCTATGCAGATTGCGGTTCATGCATTTTCTAGGTGCATTTTGCGTTTTTTTTCCACACCCATTATTGATGTGTTTTTTTAATGAATTTTGCATTTTGTGCAACCTTAACAACCAGTAAACAATATGGTCGTTAAGAAGCGGGTGGCCAGCATGTCTGTAACAACAGCTAAATGTAAACAAACAGTTGTCAACAATTAAATTCAAGAAAAAACAGCATGGGGTCCCCCCCAAAATAAAAGAAAAATGGGTAGCAGCTGGCTGCCTGCTCATTAACAACCATGTTGTTTACTGGTTGTTAAGGACACCGGCAGCTGCCCTCTTCTTAACAACCAGCTTAAAGTCACACAAATAACAAAATGCAATATGCATAAAAAACATAAAAAACCCAACACATGCATTTTTGGTGCAGTTCCAATGAAGTCTGTTACACGCAAAACACAATCTGCTGTGGGAAAAAACCCTTTCAAAAATCTGCACTGGCTAAAAATGCACAGATGTGAACTAGATCCTTAGGAAATCATATTAAATAGACTGTACTGTGTTTCTGCAAACTGCATAAGTGTGAACCTAGTCTATATAAGTTTTTTAAATAAATATAATAAAATCAACAGTCAGTGCAAAAGCCAGCCATAGAAGACTCAACTTCAGTACGACCAGCCTATCAGGTTTATTCATTTGAAATGCTAGCATAGTGATCATTGTGTTCTGATGGCTGGGAAACCTCCCATAGTCAGAATACAAAAGCTCTATGGGAGAGATTCCCCCATTAACAATTAATGTGTCGATGGCAGAATCAAGCAATTTTCTTTCCTGCAACCCCTGGTTTCAGGAAAGAAAATTGCTTAATGCATGCTTGCTTGAAACAGTGACTATTGACAATAGAACACATTTCATATAAGCAGCAATTTACACAGGTACTAAAGGACATGACCCATCAGACTGGCAAGCTCATGAGACATTAGCATGAACAGTAAGTTGCAGATCTAAAAACGAATAAGAGAATTACAAATGTGGCATACATAGCTTATTTGACACCCAGTGCTGCTGTACACAAAAATATTTTAGTAATAATAATGAAAATAAAAAAGGACAATAAGAATGGCCAAAGGAAAAGTAGGCAATGAAATGATAGTGCTTCCTAACATTGGTAGCCAGTGGAAAGATTGGTGGTCAATGAAGAGGTACTTTTACACTGGTGGTCAGTGAAAAGATTGGTGCTTACACTGGTGGTTAATGATTCCCTTACGATAGCTGCAAAAATCATAGGTGTCAAAGGTTGCTTCAAGCACAAATTGTTATGATATATTATATGAGCATATAAAATATAATAATATAATATGATAAATCGTTCTTGCAAAGTATACTTTGTAAGCCAAAGTCAATACCATTTTGGTCAAGTACTTTAGCCTGCCTTGCAAACACATTACATTTCATGCAAGTTTTTTTTGCAGCAAGTAAATTAATGTTTTATTTCTTTTACCTTATTTCTTATCACTAGTAACATTACTTACTAGATTAAATTAATTACTAGAAGACAGAAATCAAGATCTCTAATTTAGTATAATTTAGAATACCTCATTGACTGTGGCGAAATAAGGAGTGCCCTCAAATATTGGCGCGTTATCATTGCAATCAGTCACAACTACTGATACGCTCTTGGTAACCTATGAAGAGGGGTGATGAAAGAGAACATTTAGCAGTGCAGAAAAAAGCTCCATATTGCAATGCCTTACCCAGTATTCCTCACTCTGCATTTTGCCTACCATAGTAATGACTAAAAACAAATTTAGACATGCATATACAGGTTTTATAGAAGGAAAAACATTTAAAGTTATTTTGATTTTTTTTTTTTTTTTAGGACATCTAAGCCTACAATCACACCTGAGGATAGTGAAAGAGCACATTCCTGGTGATTTTAAAGTGTTTTTGTTTTTCTGGCATTTTACAGGCATATTACAGGATTTATACAAGTGATTTTGCATGTGTATTAGGATTTAAGACTTTGTTTCCTGGACTGGGCAAGCTGAGGAGAGAAGTGCTATAGGAGGAGAAAAGTTCTTGTGTGCAAAAATGTGAGCAAAACACTTTCATATCACGTATTTAAAGGCACTCCCACTGAAGTCTATGGGACTAAAAATGCCTAAATACACTCAAAAAATGTTACTCTATACTTCTGTTTTACCCATTCCTGACCTCTACTTCTTCTCTGTCCTTGTTCCAGCTACTGATTTGGTACTTTGCTACCTCCTCGTTAC